GCATGTGTGTAAGTGCACTCGTGTTGTGCAGTGCTCGCGGAGGTCAGAAGAAGGCATTAGACCCCTGGAACTGGAGCTACAGATGGTTGTTAGCCACCACGTTGGTGCTGAGAATTGAACCTAGGTTCTCTGCAAGAGCAATCATTGCTCTTAACTGCTGAGCCATCTCTCCAGCCCCTAATATATATGATATTTTTAAAGGGAAATTGACAAACTGGAATATATGTAGAAGAAGATTCCCATTTTTTTAGGGAACTGAAAATCAAAATATATGGAGAATATTTGGAGGGAATGAAAATGTTTATCATGGAGAAGGCTGACTCATGGGGAAATACATAGTTGTAAACTATTTGAAGGGCTTTTATTTAAGAGACTAAATAGACTTGTTTCTGTTGGTATATTAGAGTGTAGAAGAGTTTTAAAAATCTTTCACATAGTAAAGTGAAATATAAAACAACAGAAATTTATTTTGGGTTGGATGTAGTGATGCACACCTGTTACCTGGATCAATACTCAGGATGCTGAGGTAGGAAGATCACATGTTGAAGTCAGCCTGGGCTATATAGTGAGACTCTACCTCAGATGTTTTATGTGTGTGTGTGTGTGTGTGTGTGTGTGTGTGTATGTGTGTGTGTTCAGGCCATTGCTATAAATGAGTGTACTGCTTGGTTTCGCAGATGTCTGCTACAGGTTTGGGTAAGAGTGTCAGTCCAGTTGTCTTAAAGACTAATAGTATCAGGATCTTGAGAAGCTTGGCCTTATACAATGATAAGGAGAAAAGGTGTATTTTGATTTAATATAATAAATGTATTTGATGAAGAATAGTGCTGCCAGTAAAGTAATTCTCAAACTTTTGATCATACTTGGGAGCACTGTAAAATTCATAGTCTAAGCTCTGCTTCAGAGACTGATTCAGTAAATAACACTTTTTCTCAGTAGATACAACTACATCATGGGATGCACTTTCTCAGACCAAGGCTGCTGTAAGTAGTTTTAACTTCCATTTTCTTTCTTTCTTTCTTTCTTTCTTTCTTTCTTTCTTTCTTTCTCTCTCTCTCTCTCTCTCTTTCTTTCTCTTCATTAATTCATTCATGCATTTGTTTTTGTACGCTTATATATCCTTATGTTTATACATTTATATTATATATTCATTGATTTTAAAAGTGATATCCTGTTATATGATGAATTAAATTTCTGTAGCACTTTTTAAAGAGGAAAATAAATACAAATATTTTGTATATATTACACAATGAACAAAAAGGACAACTACTAAAAAGTAAAGGCATTAAATAAGTTAGTACTTTAAGGGTATCAGATGCACTAATAACATGACATGTCAAATATTCATAAAATTTATTCACCTTTAATAAATTTGTTCTTTTTATATAGTGATCTGAAAGGTTAAACAGAATAAATAGGGGATGGCTGGTCTGTGTCTGTGTAGAAGCCTTATTGTCAAGGAGGAAGTGAAAGGAACTGGCTTCTTAAAGGGCTGTGTAGTAGCTGTTCTCTTTCGTGGTGTAACAGGTTATTTTCTTTTATACTAATGAAGAGAAATGATTGTAGGAGAGTTGTTTCCCTTTGTGTATTGTCAGAATTGTCTGGATTTTAGGAATCCAAAGTGATGGAGTGATATAAGATCTTTTCAAAGAGGCATTTCTCTTGCTTTCTGGGTTAATTATCCTAATATGTACTTTTTTGTTTGCTTTTTAAAAATACATTTTTTTAATTTTATGTGTATGAGTATATTGCCTGCATGTAGATAGGTGCGCCCGTGTCGTGCAATGCCCACAGAAGTTAGAAGAGGGCGTCAGATTCCCCTGGAACTAGAGTTACGGACAATTGTTAGCTGCTCTGTGAGTGCTGGCTGAGAACTGAACCTGGGTCCTCTGTAAGAGCAGCCAGTGCTCTTAACTGCTGAGCCATCTCTTCAATCCCCATCTTGTTTTCTCTTATATATCATTTGAATTTTGATCACCTATTTTTTTTTTTTTTCGGTCTTTTTGACACAGGGTCTCCCTGTAGCCCAAGCTGACCTTGAACTCAAAGAGATCCGCCTACCTCTGCCTCCTGAGTGCTGGGATCAAAGGGGTGTGCCACCACGCCTGGCCTTGATTATCATAGTATTTTATTGTATCCTCTGCTAATGTTTGGAACTCTTTGAAAATAAATCTGCTAAAATTCGGCCCTATGAGGAAATACAATGTCTTTCTACATGAAATTAAGTTATAACGCAGGAATAGTTTTTATCTCTAATTTAGTTTTTAGCTAAACTAATATATAGCTAAGCTGTTACTAGTTAATTTTCAAAACTATTGAGTGTTTTGAAGAA